AGGCCTTGGCCAACCAGTTCGTGAGGTTAGATGTTTCTGAGCCCAGCTGTGTTCTAGCTTGTACAGTTGCTCGGTCTTCTTTGTTTGAGCGCATCAGAGATCGGCAGGATGACGATCCTCATTTACTTGTCCTTAGAGACACAGTGCGGCACGGTGGTGCCAAGCAGGTTACTGTTGGAGATGACGGAGTTTTGAGGATGCAGGGTCGTATTTGTGTGCCTAATGTGGATGGACTTCGTGAGTTGATCCTTGAGGAGTCCCACAGTTCCCGGTATTCTATTCATCCGGGCGCCGCCAAGATGTATCAGGACTTGAGGCAGCATTATTGGTGGAGGCGAATGAAGAAGGACATAGTTGCCTATGTAGCTCGGTGCCTAAATTGCCAGCAGGTAAAGTGTGAGCATCAGAGACCTGGTGGTTTACTTCAGAGGTTAGATATTCCTGAGTGGAAGTGGGAGCGTATCACTATGGATTTTGTTGTTGGACTCCCACGGACTCAGAGGAAGTTCGATGCAGTTTGGGTTATTGTGGACAGGCTGACTAAGTCAGTGCATTTCATTCCTGTGGCAGTTACCTATTCCTCGGAGCGGTTGGCAGAGATTTATATTCGTGAGATCGTCCGTCTTCACGGTGTGCCCGTGTCTATCATTTCTGATCGAGGTACGCAGTTCACCTCGCACTTCTGGAGGGCAGTACTGCGTGAGTTGGGTACGCGAGTTGAGTTGAGCACAGCATTTCATCCTCAGACAGACGGGCAGTCCGAGCGCACTATTCAGATCTTGGAGGATATGCTCCGCGCATGCGTTATAGACTTCGGAGGATCGTGGGATCAATTCTTGCCCCTTGCAGAGTTCGCCTACAACAACAGCTACCAGTCGAGCATTCAGATGGCTCCCTATGAGGCACTATACGGTAGGCGGTGCCGATCTCCAGTTGGGTGGTTCGAGCCGGGGGAGGCTCGGTTGTTGGGCACAGACTTAGTACAGGATGCCTTGGATAAGGTCAAGATTATTCAGGATCGACTTCGCACAGCTCAATCCAGGCAAAAGAGTTATGCCGACCGCAGAGTTCGTGATGTTGTATTTATGGTCGGAGAGAGAGTGTTGCTTCGGGAATCACCCATGAAGGGTGTAATGAGGTTCGGAAAGAAGGACAAGTTGAGCCCTAGGTATATCGGACCTTTTGAGATTCTAGAGAGGGTAGAAGAAGTGGCTTACAAGCTTGCGTTACCACCTAGTTTAGCAGCTGTTCATCCGATATTCCATGAGTCCATGCTTCGAAATTTTCACGGCGATCCGTCCCATGTGTTAGATTTCAGCTATCCAGTTGGACAAGAATTTGACTTACGAGGAGGAGCCGGTGGCTATTCTAGCCTGACAAGTTCGCCAGTTGAGATCAAAGAGTTACCCTTCAATTCGAGTGCAGTGGAGAGGCCAGTCTGTTGAGGCAGCCACTTGGGAGTCCGATATGCGGAGTAGATATCCCCACCTTTTCTCTAGCCCAAGTGCTTTTCTATGTCCGTTCGAGGACGAACGGTTGTTTTAGAGGTAGAGAATGTGATGACCCAAAAGGTCATCTTATGTTTTAGAACTCGATTCTGCGCTTTTAAGCCTTAAAATCTCATTTTTACCCTCCTCGATTTGCGTGCACAGTCCGGGCGTATTTCCAGAAAATTTTTATGTTGAAAATTGATGAAAATAAGAATTTTTGCCTTAAAAGCTAATTTTAGTTGATTTCGGTCAACATTTTTGGTAAACGGGTCCGGATCCGTGTTTTGACGGTCCCGGTGGTTCTGTATCGAATTATGGGACCTGAGCGTATGCCCGGAATCGAATTTGGAGGTCCCTAACTCGAGTTATGAATTTTTGATGAAAATTAAAAGTCTGAAAATTAATTATTTTTAAGAATTTGTTGATGTTTGGCCTTGTTGATACCGGGTCCGTATTTTGGTTCCGGAGCCCGGTATAGATCCAAAATAATATTTATGACTTATCTGTGAAATTTGGTGAGAAACGGAGTTGGTTTGACGTGATTCGGACGTCCAGTTGAGAAAATAGAAATTTTAAAGTGTTCTTCAGAATTTCATTTGATTTGGTGCTAAATTCGTAGTTCTAGGTGTTATTTCGACGAATTGATCGCGCGAGCAAGTCTATATGATGTTTTTAGACTTGTGTGCATGTTTGGTTTGTGGCCCTGAGGGCTCGGGTGAGTTTCGGATAGGCCAAGGGATATTTTGGACTTGAGGAAATCTAGTGTTTCTGTTGTACCTGGTATATGATATGTCGTGCTTCGCGATCGCGTAGTCACTCTCGCGATCGCGAAGGGGAACCTGGGCTGGGGAGGATTTTACTCTACGCGAACGCGAGACCAAGGTCGCGAACGCGGAGCATTGGGGGGGTTGCTCTACGCGAACGCGACCCGTCGAACGCGAACGCGTAGCTTTAGCTAGGCTGGGCAGGGGACCTGGGAAGCTCTATGCGAACGCAAGCCCTGTCTCGCGAACGCGAAGGTATGGCAGGCTAAACCTTCGCGAACTCGTAAAGCCTTCCGCGATCGCGTAAGTCCTTAGGAGGCTGCCCTTTGCGAACGCGACAGTGTTCACGCGATCGCGATGAACACTGTCGCCCAGCACTTAAAACAGAATCAAAACGGGGATTGGCCATTTATTTCATTTTCTCAAAAACCAAACGGACTAGAGGCGATTTTCAAGAGTTGTTTTCTTCCCCAAAGTGTTGATAAGTGATTCTAAACCATTTTCTTTCAATTACCCATTATATTTTATGAATTATCAACCTAAAATCTAGAGTTTTCACGGTAGAATTAAGGGTTGGGTAGAAACTAGGGATTTCGGAAATTTGGAGATTTAGACTTCAATTTAAGGTCGGATTCCAAAACCACTTATATATCCGGGCTCGAGGGTGAATGGGTAAATGGATTTTGGTCCGAACCTCAGGTTTTGACCAAGCGGACCCGGGGTCGATTTTCGACTTTTTGGAGGAAAATTTGGGAAATCTAAATTTATGCAATGTAATTAATTCCTTTAGCAATATTTGATATTATTGAGTCATTTTTTAATAGATACGAGTGGTTTGGAGGTGAATTCTAAAGTAAAAGCTGTGATTGAGTATTAAGTGGCCTTCGGAGCGAGGTAAGTGTTGTGTCTAACCCTAACTTGAGGGAATTAGGAACCTCAGATTATTTGCTATGTGAAATTCATGTGAGCGGCGTATATGTGAGGTGACGAGTACTTATGCGCTGCCAATTTACCCGTTTTCCCTGTTTTCTCCCATTTTTCTTACATTGTCTCTTTCCTATGCCTAATTGTTACGTGTTTAGACTAGTGTTGATAAATTGATCGTTCTTATCATGTGTACGGATTCTCTGGTGATAATTGAGTATTTATTTCAAAGTTGAGATTGATATTGCGGAACCAAATGTTGAAGGCTTGTACTTGTTATTCCATCTCCCTGTTGTTATTTATGCATTGCATTATGGTAAGGGAGAGTATTAATGCACGAAGGGTGATGTCGTGCCATATTGTGAGTGTTAATGCATGAAGGGTGATACAGTGCCATATTGTGAGTGTTCATGCACGAAGGGTGATGCCATGCCATATTGTGAGTGTAAAAGCACGAAGGGTGATGCCGTGCCATGATATGAGAGTTAATGCACGAATTGGTGATGTCGTGTCGTTTCTATTGATTTTATGGTGAGATTGAGAGTAAAAGCACGAAGGGTGATGCCGTGCATTTTTCCTTTACTGTATTCGTGTTCCTGTTGATTCATTTTATATTGGTTGTTCCAGTTATCATTCTACTGTAGTTCACTATCCCGTATTTCCCCCAGCATGTTTCCCTCTCCCGATATTTCCTGTCTAGCTCTTCATTACTGTTATTTGTATATACACTGTTAAGTTGTACAGGTTGATTTGTAGGTGCCTTGCCTTAGCCTCGTCACTATTTCGTCGAGGTTAGGCTCGACACTTACCAGTACATAGGGTCGGTTGTACTGATATTGCACTCTGCACTTTCTGTGCAGATTTTGGTACCCGCTCGAGTTGATCGAGAATTCATCTGTTGGACCCGCTATCCGGAGACTCGAGGTAGATCTGTCGGCGTTCACAGACCTTGAAGTCCCCGCCTATCCTTCTATTTTACTGTTTCTTTCATTCAAACAGTTGTATTTCTTTCAGACTATTACTTGTAGTGAATTCTAGAATGTTCGTGAATTGTGACTCCAGATCCGGGTGGTAGTAATTAATACAGTTTTTATATTATTCCGCACTTATTATATTTCATCTTAGTTAAGTATTGTTATTTGCTGAATGGAAATAAGGATATTTTTTAATGATTCTCTAACGTTGGCTTGCCTAACAAGTGAAATGTTATGCGTCATCACGGTCCCGACGGTGGGAATTTCGAGTTGTGACACTTAACCAAAAAAATAGCATGTGAAATAAGGGGACTCTTTGCCTTAGGCAAAACCTCGTTGACCAAAACTAATAATCTCAATGTGGATATGCCAAAAGTCTCTGTCTTTCCTGAAACCAATCTCCCCATTACATACTCCTGAAAACCCAATAGGTGTGGTCATACGCCTTTCCAAATCCAGCTTGCAAAGCACACCTACTTTCATGCTTCCTTATAGTACAGTATTGGCGAAATCACTTTCATAATATCCTCTTTGACTGTTCTCCAACACTGCTAGAAGAAAGCCATCGTAAATTGTNGGGGGGGAGGTAATTCATTCAGATGCCTATGGTCCAATGAATGTTGAAGCTAGGCATAGAATCTTGCCATGGTCGTCAATTTCCTCGAGCTATATAAAAATGAAAGGTAGATGAAAATATTTGAAATAACACAGACACATAGGAAACGCAAACCAGAAACTCTAATAGTAAGCTAACAATCAAGTATACGTCAAATAAATGTATCAAAAATAGAGACGAGAATAATTCGCAAAGCTAGTGAGATTGTGATATATGTGTATATGCTACTTACTTGGTTATAACAAGGTCAAACTGCACCTGTCAACTAGTGCAGCTCCAAGTATGTATATCAGGTGCCAACAGGTAGTGCCTCGTAATGAGATAGACTCAACGTATCATTTCTTGACCTTTAAAGGAGCCGAATGGTGGTGGATTTCGATGCATGTAACTGGTAAAAAAGAATGGTAGAAAAAGGAAGTGAAGGAAGAACCTCAACATTTACATATATTTACCAAGGAATTGCACCCAAAGGCTTCAGAAACCAACAAAGAACATAGCAACTTCAGTGCATTAAAACACTAAAACCACACATGAACATGTACTTTAAAGAGTGTACACAGATAAAAATATGAGCTGCTTCTCATGGCGTTAAAGTAACTACGTAGAATCTACTGGAATGTGTACATAAATATACAGTTCTTTCCTACTTCTAACACTTGGGATCTAAATCAAGAGTCAAAACTAAGTTTTCCTATCTTAGAGGTGATGAACATTATGAATCTGAAACATTCTGTTCTAATGTTTATAGGAATAGGTTTAGTTCTATCAGCTCCTTCTGTTATTGGATTTAATTTATTATGTCAACATGGACCACATTGGAAACGTTAACTGCAGAACTTCAAAACTTATAAAGCTTACAAAATACATATGAAACCAACAAATAATTCCTTATATCTATTGAAAGACAGAGCTGAAACGAAGAGGTACTGACCATGTAATACAAGCTCTGGGAGAGTTCAAGTGCATTCTCCCATCTATTCATGCTTACTAATCCCTTAATGAGGTTAACAAAGTCCGTAAGCTCTGGAACTGCACCTTTATTTATCATGTCTACATATAATTCAAACGCCAAATCAACTTTGTTTGAAACAGAAAGGCACTCGATCAAGGAAGAGTACATTTTCTTATCAAGATTTGAAAATGGCAAAGATGATGAAGTCTCTTTAAGTAGCTCCATGGCAAATTCAAGTCTTCCTGCTTTTTGATAGCTATCAATTAGAACCCTATAAACTGGAATAATTGGAAGAGAATTTTTGTTGCCCATGTCCTCTAAAAGACACAGACTGATAAAGTACTCTCTTTCGAAGCCTTCAATAACCTTACGATGGCTGGCCATGTGTTTTGGCCAACTTATTTGTTTCATTTCCTCAAGAAGTTGGAGAGCCTCATCTAAAAGTCCTGCAGCACAACAATGCTTTATTGCAACTGAATAGGTTATGTAATTTGGTGCACAACCCTTATTACCCATCCTTTCGATGAGTTCAAGACACTTATTCACTTTTCCAGCTTTGCCAAATCCATCAATCATTGCAGTATAGGTCACAACATTTGGATGACACCCCTTTTCTTCCATCATCAACATAAGTTTATAAGCTTCATCTATTTTACCAACTTTACAAAAGCCATCTACCATCTCTGTGTATATAACGACATTTGGGGGGCAAGAACTTTCGAGCATTTTAGACAAGACTTTTATAGCAAGATCCAAACGATTATCCTTAAATAGTCTATCAATTAGAGAGCTGTAGGTGTAAACACTCGGACTATATCCACATTCTGACATTTTGGCAAATATCTCTTGTGCATCATCTAGCTTACCCACCTTGCAAAGCCCGTCAATTAATGCGTCATAAACAATATGATTTGGTTCGCATCCTTCCACTACCATGACATCCAAAAGATTGCGAGCTTCTTTCACCCTGTGTGCTTTGCACAAACCATCAATCATAGCTCCATATGTAACGACACTTGGCTCCTTATTACCATCAAGATCAACCTTGAAGTACGACTCTACTTCAGCGGTACCTAGACTCCCCTTCATTCTGGCATAGATCTGGCAAGCCTTCTCTATGTGTCCAGCTTTACAGTATCCATCAATCAAAGCAGTGAAAGTGACAATATTTGGAACACATCCTTGCGTTAACATCAATTCAAAGAGCTCATTTGCATCTGAAATTTGCCTTTGCTTGAGGTAAGCATGGACAATAGCTGTGTAAGTCACTACGTTAGGAGTACAACCCTTTTTAATCATTTCATTAAACCAATTACGAGCCTGTTGAATAAGACCAGATTTACAAAAGCTATCAATCAAAATTGTGTAAGTATAAACATCTGGAATAATTCCATTCCTCATCATTTCTTGGAACAACAGGAATGCCTTGTCTACTTTGGAGGCATTACAAAGAAAACCAATCACTTTCGAGTATGTACTGACATCAGGTATAAAACCTTTGCTCATCATTTCTTTAATAACACTAAAAGCCTCCTCATATTTTCCAAATCCACAAAGGCACCGTGCAAAATTGACCACGTTGACTTTATTCAGTACTTGTCTTGCATTTAGCATTTCATTATACACATCTTCAGCCAATTCTAGCACATCCTTGTTTGGTAACTCCTCGTTGCCACAAATACCACCAATCAATATGTTGTAAACTACGTATCCTGGCTTACAGCCACAGCCATCCATTTTTTTTAGCAATTTGTAGGCATACCAGTAATCTCCTGATCTACAGTATGCATGTACAAGAGAATTAAATATTTTCTGACCTGGATAACAACCTTCAGAAATCATAAGATTAAGAACCCTCTTGACGCGACCAAGTTTTCTCCTGTTTAAAAGTGCACAAAGCAAAACTTCATATGTTACACGATTAGGGATACACGAACTAGTCCGCATTATATTGAGAAAATTCATTGCTTCTTCAAAGAGGGAACCTTCACATAATCCTGAAATCATATTAGTATAAATCACTGTATCAGGCACAAACTCTTCCTTGTCAATTAAATCAAGGCCTTCTCTCCATTTACCCACTTTGCACAATGATCGCGTAAAGCTATTTAATGTACGCTTGTCCATCTTAAAACTAAGTGCTGACATCTCCTTGTATATCAAAGATGCAGTCTCCAATCTATTTACTTGCAGAAACACCTGAATCAGCGCATTATAAGTGGCTGCCGAGGGCTTGTAACCAAAATTTTTTAGCCTTCCCAGCTCCTGCAATGCTAAATCCCACAACCCATTCCTGCAACACTTGCTTATCAACACATTAAGCAACTTGCCAAGCACTTCCCTATCATCTTTTCCTATATCTTGAACAAAATGTAATGGGACATCACACCCTATTACTTCCAACAAAGCATCATAAACAGATGCATTATGCACATAGCCAATTTGTCTACCAGCCCACATGAAAAACTTAACACCCAATTCAGGGTTGTGTATATTTCTCAACACATCAACCACTAAACCAGGGTTGAGCTTTTCCCTAAAATGCCTAACAACTCTCTCAGTTCTCTCTCCAAACCCATCATTACCCTTCCTTATAGCATTTATAACCAAGAAAGCATCATCTGAAAACTTACCAATCTCATCTTTGGAGATAACTTCAGCATCCGAACCACCCAAGATTGAAACCAATTCTTGGACTGAAAGTGAACCACCCATCTTTTCTTGTTGAAAAGATTCATTTTCTGGGAATCTCAGTTCTGGGTCTACCAATGTAACAAGGTTATTCTCGGAGCATATGAATCTTGAAGAGATTTTGAAAGGATGACCAACAAAACGAGAGGGAAGTGAGCGTGGAAGAGCATATCTGAAGAGCCTTATGGTCATTCTACGGCTAAGGGGTTTAAGGGGTTTATGGAAGGAGCCGCGGAGGCGCCGGACGATAGCCGTGGTGTTAAATGACAAGTGAAAGTCATTGGTCTTTTGGAACAAGAAAAATCTAGTGCGTAGAACTTTTTTCTCTTTGAAAGCGTCAAACTAACCAAATTTTTGACATAAAACTAGAATTTATATATTTAGAAACTACTGCATAAAAAAAATTATTTACCCTCCCTAATCAAGTTTTACTTTAATTACATAGTCATATACAATTAACCAGTTATATATAAATTAATTTTAAATGAGTATCCCGTTATATTAGGAATTGAATAACGAATATCAGTTATTGCTGCAGCTCACTGAGGACATCACCATAGATAGGAAAGTGTAGAGATTAAGAATAAAGGTAAAGGGTTAGGTGGTCGAGTGTTGTCCTTGTTTGTAGCAGTAGCTTTGACACACCACTTAGTGTCGTCCGTGTTTTTTTCGTACCCCTAGTCTTCTGTTACTACTTGTTGTTGTCTTGTGTTTTGATTTTCTGATTGCATTACCTTTTGCTAGTTTTGTATTTTTGTTTTGGTTGTCAGGTCAGTTTGCTTGTTATTGCCCCTCCCCTTTCCCTTTCCTGAGCCAAGGATCTTTCGGAGACAAACTCTCTACCTTTTTAAAGGCAAGGGTAAGGTCTGCGTACACTCTACCCTCCCCAAACTCCACTTGGGGAACTACACTTGGTATGTTGTTGTTGTTGTTGTTGTTATACCTGCGTGCTCTCTCTCTGTTTCTCTCTATATGTCTGTCTCTCCCCCTCTCTCTCTTTGTCTCTCTATCTCGCATTCTCTGTTCTTTCCCCAATTTTTCTTCTTTTGATGTTCTCTACTTTTTATCCTTTCACGTTGTATATAGTTTAATGGAATTCATCAATGGATTTCAATAGAAGAAGAAGAAGAAGAAGAAGAAGAAGAATACATGACATACAATTTACTTACGAAATTGTATTAAAGTTGTATTATAGTTGTACAGTCAGACCTCTCTATAACAACATCCTTATATAACAACACTTCACTATAAAAGCCAAGTTTTTTCCGGAACCAATTTTCATGTTATGTTATAATATATGTTCTCTGTAACAATACTTCTCTATAATATCCAAAAATATTCGGAACAAACGAGGCTATTATAGAGAGGTTTGACTGTATTTAAATTATTTTTAAGTTGTATTCTGTTGTAGTTATATATATTTTTTATTTGAATATTATACGAAAGTTGAAAAATAGTTGTATAATGTATGAATCATTGTATGAAATTTGTATTCAAGTTATACTATCTTTTTACATAAAGTTGTTAATATGTATCAAAATTGTATTAAGAGAAGAGTTTTGATTGGAATTTCAAAAAGGAATAAGAACAAACCACATACAAAATATATATACAAATCATATACAAAATACATACAAAAAGACATATTGTATAGATTTGCATGAAGATTGTATTTAAATTCTATGATATTGTAGTTGTATTTAACTGGGTAAACATAATGTATGAAAGTTGTAGATAAGTTATAAATAAGTTGTATATTATATAATTAGTTGTATAAAATCTATTTTTAGTTTATATATTATTGTAAATGTATAAAATTTTATCAAATTTGTATCATGCCGGCTCTGATGGTGTAACCAGCTTGCCCCTCAAGTGGAGCATCATGCGTTCACTCCTGAAGAGGATGAAACTATCATCAGGGAACCACTGGAACTCTACTATTAAACGTATGTGTTGATCCATATCTAAAGATTTAAGCTTTGAAACTCCTCAACTACCTTTGAATGATCGTCTATTGTAGGTCCTAGTACCAACTTTTCTTCTGGTATGAATTTGAGTAGTCCATCCGGATCTGACTTGAGTGATTCGAGTCTTTCGATTTTCCCCCAGCCTCTTGTTTATAAACCTGTTCCCCGATCCGGTGGGATTTTCCCTCTTCCTCCTCCAGTTCAACAGATCAAAATTGCTCCATTTGTACCCGACCCACCCACTTCTCTTTTCCTTTCGCTACCTCGGATCTGAAACCCGTGAAACCTCGACTCAGACAGCACAACCAACCCAGCAAACTCAGCCCCCTCAATCGCCACCATTACCATAATAGGAAAAGAGGAACGGAGAGGGAAAAAAGAGAAATGACGTAACTGAATCCCCTAATTTAAGGCACTAATAATGGATTGTATATAAGTTATAAAGAAAATACAGTTAGGTCCGGTTGTACCTTGCATGCATATGTTGGATGTTGATGCTGCTGCGTACGGTGGGAGCTGGATCGGAAGATGTACCTGCCTTCCGGTTATGGCTATCACTTGTCCTTGGTAGGATTAGATTCAAATTATGTTCATTTACATTTCGAACAGATGTTGTAATTATTTCAATTCAGTCTTGTAAAAATTTAAATCTTAGACGCCCATGATTTGTACTACTAGTCCTTGGAAAATACTAGTATAAAAGTAGTTGTATTATCTTTTCTCCTCTTAAATCTAATCTAGTCTCATTTGAATTTGTTTTATGTTAACTGGCTTACCTAGCGGGTTGGGTTAGGTGCCATCACGGCTAGTTGGAGTTTTGGGTGGTGACAAGTTAGTATCAGAGCCCTAGGTTCATAGGTTCTACGAGTCATGAGCAAGTGTCTAGTAGAGTCTTGCGGATCGGTATGATATCGTTCATACCTATCTTCGAGAGGATACATGGCATTTAGGATAAACTTCCCATCTTTCTTTCCTTATCGTGCGACATTGATTCAGCTTGAAGCGTAACTCTTTGAATCTCTTCCACGCATCCGTGTGTGCATGAGAGCGCTCGCTATCAGCTGTATATCGATGGCTTGTGAATCCTTGGGTGAGGTGCGAGATGTGATTTCTGTGTGCTGATGATGGGCCAGTCTGGAGGACTTGAGGCTAATTTTGACTGTAGCTTGAGCACGAGGATTTCAGTTGTGAGCACGTGCTTTTGGACTTACAAGTCCGATAGTGTCCTTATTAGTGAAATTTGTGGCTCGATGAGTGGTTGGATGGCTATATGATGAGTATGATGTGACTGCAGGATGTGTTCAGATGGATTGAATGTGGCGAGAAGAGTTTGCTTTAGATGTAAAAAGAACTATTGGGTGCTTGATATCTGTCTTGATGTGACGTATAGTCTCGAGTTATGAGTGCATTAAAGGATCTTTCATGTTGCATAATTATGGAACGAAATTTGATTCTCATGTCTTATTGATGAGTTCGGACTCAGGAAGATTGAGTGATTGCATAGTAGTTGTAGTTGTGAAAAGTTATAGAGAGATGTCTGTTTGAAGCTAAGCAGGTGAGTTATAACCTGCGAGGTAATCTACAGATGTGTGATTTTTATGATGTTGTGTGGAGGCTTTCCTTTCTACCAATGGGTTATATTTGTGCGATTTGAGTTTGTATTGGTTGTACTAGTTGACATGACTGGCACGTAGATGTATGCGAGCTTAGTAGATGATTGGAGGTACTATATGGTTTGTGTTATGTGAAATTATGAAAAATTTAGTTGAATCTCCCTGCGGTATTATGGTAATAATAGAGTATGGGTGTTGCGAGTTATCAGATATTTTATTCCATGGCTTTGAGCCAAGTGGGGGAGTCTGCTATTGACGAGTTGATTGCACGATTATGTGTTTTATTGGTTTTGGTTTGAGGTATACTTGTGAATCAGTTATGGCTTGCAGAGGTTGAGATCGAGGATGACTCGAGTGAGGGAATTTTTGGATGCGGGTTGTATTACACTCTATGGGTATATGTGAATCATGGAATGATTGAGTGGTTATTTTTTAGGGATGTAGTGTGCATGGAGTAGGAATTTACTCGGTTGTTTAGAGGTGTGGATTACTTCTGTGGGTGTTAGTGTGCTAATGGGGCACAGGTCGTTCGGCCTGTTTGGACAGTACAAGTGAGATTTGAGCAGAGTAGATGACTCTCGAAAGGGTTCTAATAGGTTCAAGATTTATATGTAGCAATTGGGAAATTTTTTCAGGATGTGCATATGGCTAGAATCTGAGATTTATATTGGATGGTGTCGAGACTTGCGGTATTTCTGTATCACGATGGATTCTACATTTTAGTATCATAAGGGTAAAAAGGAACGACTTTAGATTCACAAAAGGTCTCGTTAGAGTTGGTGCCTTGATTGTGGTACTTTTGGGGTGCTTAAGAGGGAGTATGTCGGCTTATGGGCCTTAGAGCGGTGTGATTTTATTGAGGGTAATTCAGAAGGGACTTGGAGAAATATGACATTTTGGTAGAAGGTTAGATCAGTACGGTAATGGATATGATCGGTGTTTTTTTGGGTACTTATGATGTGGTGAGGCTCTACAGGTGCTTTGGTGTCAATACTCTTAGGTTTGGCGACCTGCGTAGCTTGGTTGAGTTAGAGAGACTCAGTTCTGATGGTTTAGTTATAGGCAAATGGGTTTTGAAGAGTTCTCGATGGTTTCTACCACGGTTTGAGATAGATATCTCCTACCGACATGAGGAGCATGTTGCGTATTGTGATTTTCTCCTGGATGGGATCAAATATAAGGTTTCTGACTGATCGGGTATGTATTATGTTGGTGACTCAGAGTTGATTATGAGATTCCCGTACTTTTCGTATGATGGCATGATAGATATAGTGTGTTGTGTAGGATTGAGATTGCATGTGCAAGGTCACAGTTCAGTTTTGAATGGAAGTTCATGAATTCTTAGACAACATGGACGGTTTCAGATGTGTAGATGAATGCTATTACTACTTAGTATTTCCTGATATGGGTGCGTATTTCAGAAGGCGCATTGTGTTTTGACATACGGATGCTTCATTGGTATTGCGGTACTCGCCTGGTTGATCTACTGCTGATATTCAGATTTTTCTATATGGCACGGAAGAATTATCAAAGTATTCCTCGTGGGATGATCGTATAGAGAGATGTGTTAGAAATTCGGGCGATGGAGTTAGGATCAGATAGGTTGATTCGTGTGCTCTATGGATTTGGAGACTGGGAGTTCTCAGGAGCAGATTGTTTCGTGGTTATGGACTGTGAAAAATGTGGCCAAAGCTAGCCAGAGAATAGTATGTGTTATGATTCAGTCATTGTTCAGAGGG